GGAGCTCGTGCCTGAATCGACTGGGGAGTCTGTGTGCTCCCAGCGTTACCTGGGGCACCCTGCTTCCCCGCAGATTGTTTCGGGGCCTGAAAGGGTCCTGCCAAGTCCTCAAGAGAGAACTGAGTGGCCCTGGATTCCGTACGCGGTGCAGGGCCCCTGCGCACCGCATCGGAGTAGGTACCTTTGGAAATGAAAGAAAACCTTTGTTTTGCTTCAGGGTACGATAAGTTCTCTTTGGCTCGTAAGGCAAGTATTTCCTTTTCTTGTCGCCACAGCGGGCAGGACCGAGAGTAAGCAGGGTGAGGACCCCTGCAGTTAGCGCAGGCAACTGAACCTTCACAGATGTCGGCCACATGGTCGTGGCTCCCACACTTTGCACACGTCTCCCTCCCCCGACAGCTTCGCGATCCGTGACCAAAACGCTGGCAACGGAAGCATCGCTGTGGGTTCGGGACGTACGGTCTGACACGGCAGTTCAGGTAGCCAGCTTTGACGAGTGCAGGAAGCGTGTGACGTTCAAACGTCAGGATAAGGTGCTTAGTTTTCACCTCTGCATCATCACGCCTCGTCATAATGCGTTTGACCGCCACTACTTGAGATGCCCGCAGGCCTTCCAAGATCTCGTCTTCACTGCTGGAAAGTAGATCATCTTCTGAAATCACTCCTCGAATGGTGTTGAGGGTTCTGTGTGTGCTCACTGTTACCTGTATATCACCTAGAGATGTCAATTTTAGAAGAGTAATGCTCTGGGACTTTTTTGCAACTTCAACAAGGAGGTCACCAGAATGCAGTTTCTTTGCTTTATAATCACAACCAATCTGACTGTCGAGAACCTTCGCTACCAGAAACGGTGATATCTTAGATAGAGGTTTGTCAGGGACCTCAGAGTGAATCACCATAAATCTTGAAAATGTTTCATCCTCCTTATCTTTAACTATGACTGTTCGTTCGGGACGATGCCTCTTAGCGGCACGTCCAGAACTGGGGGTTTTGGTTTGGGGGGTTGCCATAAGAGGCGAAGTTTGTTCGGAACCTGTGGTGTGCCGCCCACCACGGAGCCCTACATGGGAATAGATAATGCACCATAACAAAAAGGGCTTTGCTGGAAACGTTATGCTATTAGCACTGCCCAGGAACTATACCCAAGTGTAGTTCTGGACAAGGGGTCTGTCGCCACCCAAGGTTAGCCCTTGCCGCCAAAGAAGTTGAAAAAGGAAAGAGAAATGAGAAGAGTAAAAAGGAAGGGAAGACAAGGGTGAAAGTAGAGAGGGGATAGTAGAAGTGGCGACTAGACTGAATCATCCTGGCCGGGCCTTACCAGGACTCCCGTCTATGAGAAGCGGGGGCCGAAGTGGTGTATTGCCTCGCCCGGGGGGCCCCGAAGGGTCCAAACCTACCCCGGGCTCGGCTCAACCACCAGGATGCCCTTTTCCCCAGACACGGGAAAGCCACGCACAGCCAGACGTGGGCGGGCGAACCCGCATGGCTCGGGGTCCGTGGAGACGCCACTCTCCAAACACCTGCTTTCACAGGTGCCTCCTGCGGGGATGCATATAAAGACAAAAACACTGCCTATATGGTGCATAAAATAAAACAAAATTTCGTTTATCTTGATAATGTTGACTATCTATTGAGTGCTGTTGATAGTAGTGGCGTAGCCAGGAACTTCTAAGGGGGTGAGGATGGAGGGGGGTTGAGGTGGCTGGGATGTTCATGACTTTGGGTGCGAGGGGGATGGTTTCGGAATTTGTGTGTATATTCTAGGGCCCGCCGATTTGGGGATGGAAAAAGCGAAGCCCTATAAACCCCCCCCCCCTCGCCCCCCACCCCCCCCCCATCCCCGGCTTTGCCACATAAGGGGAGCATCCTACATTCACAGGCTGCTATAAGCATGTGCATAGCCAGTGAGCTCGTACCACAATGGCAAGATAGTTGCTGACATTCTTCACGTTACGTAGCAGTTCTTTTTTTTTTGTACATATGCTCGCTTTTCCTTCACACATCTACTCTGCCTCCGCTTGTCGTTTATGCTTGATGGTGATAGGCCAACAGTGCGTATTTGCTCTGCATCATAGGCAAATTTCAAAAATCCAGCTCACACTACTCTTTAATTTCAATGAGTTACTGTCACTTTTGAAACGACAATCTATTGAATTGCTATCATAACACGTATGTTGACTGTAGGACAATTCTATTTTTATTGTTGTTCTTGGTCAGGAAGATGACAACCATCCACAAGACACTGGCTAAATTTCTCGTCTACAGTGGGTAACAATGTTACCATACTCTGTCAGACTAAACTGCTGCTGTATAGACAAGTAACGATTAATTTTAGGACATACCTGTTCGTAGTTTATTGCAGGACATTGAAAAGTGTTCTTATAACTTTCCGATGACTGACTTGCAATTCCAGCAGCTTGGCGTGAAAAGGTAAAACATCTAATTGATACAGCGAAATGCCATCAGCAACCCATCCAGATTTTATTGCGTAATTGACAGTAGCTACAGACTGCAACAAATTGTCAACTAAAAACATAGGTACTAAGCGTGCACTAACTTCGAAGCGGTAGAAACCCTGAAGTTTAAACGTCAACTTACCACCATGTTGTTAATGGCAAAATGGTGATTGCGGCAAAGTGTTGGAGTCCTTCAGAATGGTGACGGTCTCCTTAAGACCGATGATGACGGTGACAAAGGTTTAGTTAGAGTCTAAGTTTAGTCAACGCACCCGGCGACGTCGGTGTGCTTGTCATGGTGGCGACAAAAGCCTTCTTTCGCACATGCCTCAGCTGCCTCGGTCCGGGGTTTTGTCGACCCAACCGTCTCTTCCCAGCCGGTTGACAGCGACACTCACGACGGCCGTCAAGGCTCTGATCACCATCCACTGGGCATTAGCTATGTGATCATCGGGGGCAACCGCGCCCTTGTAGTTCCCCGTTGCGAAAAATCTTAGTGGGATTCAATTAGTAGCTGCTGCTCGACGGTCATCATCTCTCATCGTCGCCGTCTCTCGTTGTCACACTGCGATCACACGGTGCTTTTCGACAAGCAGTATTGTCGTCAGAAACAGTCGTCGTGCATCGCGAAGGCTACCGGGTGCTCGCGGAAAACCTGTCATTGTACGCGTAGCCATCGTTGAGCAACAAGCATCACCGCCATTTTCTACGCTCTAGAATCCTGCCCAAAGCTTGTTCCGCTTCGTGCAATAGAAAGAGAGGTTAAAGCACGAGCGCATCACCCCGAACGATCTTGCACGAACGTTAGCTTGCACTGCGCAAGCGCGCCTGCTCGACAGGGACGTTGAAAGCCCAGAGCACGTTCTTGTAGCTCCTACACCCGCACTAGCTCGCACTCATAGTGAAACAGAGAGTAGGGTGTGTCGAGTAATACCGCAGTTAATCTAGTGACGCGACTTCCGCTATGTGCTACGTAGGTCGGACGTGGTCATACGTCACTTTGTCGTCACGGTCCGAACTCGAAGAGAGACATTTACGGCAAACGGTTGCTTTCGTGTTTCGCGAACGTTCCCATGGGAACCGCGTGGAATTATCACGCGGGCTGTGGCCAATAGGAGCGCGCGGTTCGTAGGAGGGAGGAGTTTTCGAGAAACACGAACGTGACCGTTTGTGACCAGAATAGCACCCCAGGTTGTAAAGAGCCTACGATTTAGCCTGAGCATACATTGGAAATGCCACACGATTTCACGTGCTGCGCTGAGCAATATGGGGTCATTGAGAGGCCTTACGTGATTCTGTGGGAAGGCCTATAGACGCTTTCAGGCAGCTGTGCATGGGCGCCGCCATAACTGACCTTCAGTTTTTATTCCCTCTTATTCCGTTCGCTGCACATCATCATTACCATAGCAGGACAGGTCATTGCCATTTTAGGTGTTACTGTGTCCTCCTCCTCAGCATAGGCCTTTGTGGAGACCCATCAACGCCCGCTTCAGTGGCTCGGCATCTCGGTAAGACAAGGGAAGGTCGGCAATGGCGGCTAAATTTGGCGCGCGCTGAAAGCGTCTATAGGAGGTATTCACTGGACGCCATATTTGAGGGCGATGTTTAGAGCGCACGCTCAGAAGGAGCTCGAATTAATAGCGTGCTAAGACCGGCAACCTTGATGGTGCTAAATGCACGCTCCAAAAGGACTGTGGAAGCTCGCCGTCAGCACGCGCTCAGCAGCAGCGCACACGGATATGGCCGCCAGTGAATACTCCCTATTAGTGATGTCACATGAAGCGTTTTTCCAATAAACTTAGCAGGGAAACTGTGATTTAATATGATGCCACATGGCATGATGTCACCTGACACTGACATCATGAGAAGTGCTTCCCAAGTTTATCAGGGAATTTGTGACATCAGCTGATTTCGGGTAACACTGTGACAGCATAGCATCACATGAAAGTGTACTTATGCACCGTTCTAAAATTTAGAATGCTGGTGGAGAGTGATTGTGTGTATAATCCAGTCAACCCCTAAACTGAGACTGGTATGAGCTATGTGCTTGCCGGACCATTCAATCGCCTCTTTTCATCACATGACCCAGCTGTTTGGGCGTGAGTGTGGGCAAGAGCATTATCCTGTCACGGAAATTGTCAGGGAAATTATAGCTACCGGGCAAAATCAGGGGATTGTCAGGGATATTGTCAAAAAGCAAGCCCAGCCAGGGAAAATGAGCCGGAAATGCTACTGAGTGCCCTGAGCAAAGGCTTGAGGACTTTTGGCCAGAAAAACACGCAATAAATTCTGCTTAGAGCGGAGTGCGCGCTCTGCTCACCCGATGTAGAGTGTGCTACCCGATGCAAAGAGAACAGCCGACAAATCCAGTCCAAGCCTTGTCTTGTATTGGATTGGATTGAGGGTGCAGCACTAGGCTAGATCCAGTTAGAGCTAGATTTAGTAACTAATGGGAAAGCCACAGACCCCAATCCAAGCCTTTAGCCGAAAGTATTCGAAAGTGCATCTGGCGGCCATGTTGTCATTCGGTTATTGATATTGCAGGTCCAAAGGTCACGCGGAGGGACAGTGCTTGCGCTTTAGGTGCCGTCTCTAGTCACTGTAAGTATATTTTGCGCTTCCCTTCCTCGGGATTTATCTGTCTGCACTGCTACAGACACATTATCTAGAATTGCACTAAAGCCTCACATTCTTTATGTGAAATGATTGTGTTGTTTCGAAACATTACAAAGAAAAGAGAAATATCTGTGTCATGCAGATCTAAGGAGGAAGTCCTTAAATTTTTCATTCTCTCCATTGACACTGATGCAACACAGTAAACATGCTCTTCAAATTGCAAATGCATCAGAGGTCATCATCTTCTTTACAAATATTAATGCGGCTTCTACATCAGCAGGACCCAATACAGTCTAAGCTCATTACAACAGACCTGGTTACAACAAACATTTGGATATAGCATACCGATTTGTGAAGTTCAGTTGGTTTTCCTTTGCATACCATTGACTCAACTTCATATCTGCATACAACATACAGTCGCCGACGTTTTTTTTCGGACTCTAATAATTCGAACTTGTTCGGAATTTCGGACCTAAAGGAGGAATCGTGACTTACACCTGTAGATGATGATGATGGTTGGGGGTTCACTGGCACAAGAGCAACTTAGGCCATATTGTGCCAAAACAGAGGTTTGTATGTGGAGCTTAGAAATGCAATCTAAAATAACTGCAACCTACAGCTGGTGTAAAAGGCCAGTTTTATGGAGGAATTTTATAACTCGATTGAACGGTACCAAGGGTTGATCACCAAGTAGAAAATATGGATGAAAAGGAAGATGATCTCGGAACAGTTTTGGGAAACATGATTGGCACTGTTGATTTAAAGATTTAAAATGCCACAGGATGTGCATGACAGTCATAGATTTACCACAGTTGTCGCAGAGCTTCACATCCTCATCGCAAAGCAGGTGCAGGTGAGCCAAACGGGTATGCCCAATTCTTAAGCGGCAAAGAAAACTTCAACGTGACAGTCTATATGAAAAGAGCTCTCCCATACCCCCAGAAGGGGCTTGATGACGTGGAGCTTGTTCTCTTCTTCCATATCCCAATCCAGCTGCCATGACTTCATAATCAATATCTATATGAACGGTTTCAGGTCTTGGTGTGGCAGGCCAAGGGGCAGTTCTGGGCACTCCTTCGCAGAGGCAGCAAGCAAGTCTGCTTTCTCATTGCCAGGAATACCCAGGTGGCTTGGGACCCAGCAGAATTTGATCAGGTGTCCTTGTTGAAGAGCTCGATTTAACTGAACACGAAGACGTTGCACAAGAGGGTTCTTACTGTCTGTTAAGGACAAAATTGCTAGAAGAACGCTCTGGGAATCGACAAACAGAATTGCTTTCATGATATTGTTCTCTACTAAATACTCCACAGCCATAGAAATGGCATACAATTCAGCTGTAAAAATACTTGCAACAGTGTTGAGTTGTCAAACTTTCCTGAAAGCAATGGAATAAACCGCACCATGCGATTTGTGTGGAGAGAACTGTAGGCTCCACTACCCAGCTGAGGGCAAGCCAGTTTGGAGGTGTCGGAAAGGCCATGACTGGAAGAAAAGCATCATCACAGGCACCTTTTTCGAGAACTGCCACCTTCCACTTGGACAGGTTCTCGAAGTCCTCTTTGTCGTTACTGGCGGGGGCGCCACCATGTCTTCCGTCCAGAGAATCGCCTCTCGGGAAACCAGGACTTTCCAAGCAAACTTTTGTGGCCTGGACGTGGTACTTTAGAGACACCTGCTTCAGATGGTTTGACGAAGTGCAAAGCTTACCAGCGAGACCGAGCATCGGTGGCCCCGGAAAAGCCGTTGTGGTCGACGAGGCCAAGATTGGCCATCGTAAGTATCATCGAGGACGAATAGTCGACGGCGTTTGGATTCTTGGAATGGTGGTTGATTGATTACAGGCATTATAGCGCAAAGCTACTATGGCCATACTGCGCCAAGCTTGTTTAGTTGGGACATACTCAGGACTTTTTTATATGAATTATCGAAAAGAGGTTCATATGACAAGGTTAAAATTCATAGAGTTAAAATTACAACTCCAGTAGGAAGCCGGTTTTTCTCACGTAATTTATGACACGATCAAAGGGTACTATAGGAGTCTCCCCAATTAGCAGCGCTGGGTGAAAAGGAATCTGGTGTGAAAAAAACTCGGGGAAATGTGTACGTCGTTCTTGCTCAAGCCCTGGGCACAGCCACAAAATGCGTAAAATTGTCAAACGCTCCCCACATTCATCACACAGGGGTGGGGCTTCCCCCCTGAGCAGATGTTTGTGGGTGAGGAAGGAATGTCCAATTCTCAGACGACACAAAAGAACTTCAAGGCGGGGGGTTTTGTGGGATGCACTCTCCCAGATACCAAGAGCTGGTTTAATCCTGTGAAGTTTGTTTTCGCATTCCAGACTCCACTCCGATTGCCATAGCTGGAAAACTGATGATTTTACCAAGGGCTTCATGTCTTGAAATGGAATCTGTGAGGTGGTTGGCAGTAGGTGCTTAGAGCTCGTGGCCAATTCGTCTGCTCTTTCATTACCTAGGATCCCCACATGGCTAGGCACCCAGTAGAATTTTATGTCTCAGCCAAGCCGCAGACCCCATTGTACCTTAGATCGGACAAGTTGTGCCAGTCTATTTTTACTTCCCTTTATTGAGCAAAGTGCGGTGAGCACACTTTGAGAGTCCACGAATAAAATAGATTTCATTGTCTTGCTGATGAGGATAGTTTCCAAGGCCATCAACACTGCATAGAGCTCTGCCGTGTAAATACTTACACATTCTTTGAGACGCTGAACCTTACTGAATCCTTCAGAGTAAACTGCTGATCCTACAAAATGCAATGATTTGGCACCATCGGTATAAAATTGGGAGTAGTTACCATACTTCTTCTGCACCTCAAGAAATTCTTGCTGAATCACCACTGGGGGGACGTTATGTTTATTAAATCTAGTAAAATACCAATCGCAAAAGACGGGCAACATACTCCACGGAGCTTCATTTTCACCCTTCTGCAAAAGGTCGGTCTCGTCAAGGGTGAGGTCAAGAGATGTACAAATGTCCTCAAGGCGAAGACTTAAAGGCGGTACAACCCAGGGCTTATGTTCGAAAAGACGAGCAAACCGAGAATGTTGCAAGGCACCATAAGTTGGGCGATTTGGATAGGACAAAATTCTGGAAGCATAAGTCACAGCAAGATAACGTCGTCTGCGCCTAAGTGACATCTGATTAGATTCAGCGTACAAGCTAGGAATGGGCGATGTGCGGAAGGCACCTGTAGCGAGCCTTAAACCGAGATGATGCACAGGATCCAACATTTTCAGTGCAGAAGGCCTCGCTGAGTCGTAAACTATAGCACCATAGTCCAGACGTGACCGGATAAGGGAGTTGTACAGGCGTAGCAGACATATTCTGTCGGATCCCCATGATTTGTGCGCCAAGACTTCAAGAATATTAGCTGATTTAAGGCACTTCTTCCTCAGGTCCTTCAGGTGGAAAACAAAGTTTAACTTTTTATCAAACGTTATGCCCAAAAATTTATGCTCTGTTTTTACATTAATAGGAACCCTGTTTAGCATCAGTTCTGGATCTAGAAACAGCCCCCGACGCAGAGAAAATGGCACGCAGATAGTCTTATCAGCTGAAAACTTGAACCCATTTTCGTCAGCCCACTTACTAATTCTGTTGATGGTAAGCTGCAGTTGCCGCTCACAGCTAGACAAATTACAAGAAGAGGCCGAGATGTGAATATCATCCACGTAGAGGGAGTATGAAACGGAAGGTGGAATTACCATTGACAACGAGTTTATCTTTACGGCAAACAAGGAGACACTCAGTACACCTCCTTGCGGAACACCATTTTCCTGGATATACTGGTCGGATAGTGTGGTGCCAAGTCGAACTTGAAAGGAGCGACCTGTGAGAAAACTGCTTATACACCGCAACATGCGACCACGCACACCAGAGGCATACAAATCATAAAGGATACCATACCGCCATGTCGTATCATATGCTTTCTCCAGGTCGAAGAAAACAGAGACACAATGTTGCCTATTTACGAAAGCTTCACGTATGGTTGTTTCCAGACGGACTATGTGGTCCAAAGTAGACCGCCCTTCTCGAAAGCCACATTGGTTATTAGCAAAGAAGTGGTTATGCTCCAAAATATATATTAACCGCCTATTAATAAGGCGTTCGAAGGTTTTGCCAAGGCAACTCGTTAACGCGATTGGACGGTAACTACGTGGGTCCGAAGGGTCCTTCCCAGCTTTCAGCAAAGGAATTACATGCGCCCGTTTCCAGATTTGAGGAAAGTAAGCTGCTTCCCACAGATAGTTGAAAAAACCTAGTAGTGCGTTCAGCGATTCACGAGACAACTGACGGAGCTTTCATAGTGGATTCCATCAGGGCCTGGAGCCAATCTCTTTTTGGAGCCCAGAGCCACCTCTAGTTCTTGCATTGTGAAATTAGTGTTGTATGGCTCAAAGCTACAACCGGACATGGGTATACGGTGACACTCAGCACTTGCTTTAAAACGTTTAAATTCCATACGATAATTTCGGGAGCTGGAAACATTCTCAAAGTGCTCTCCAAGCACATTAGCAACATCTTTCAGCGAAGTAGCAGGGGAGCTAAATAGAGGAATAACAAAGCAACGGTAGTCCCCTTTGATTTTTTTGTACCTATCCCAAACTTCCTTTTCCGAGAAAAAACTATTTAGGGAGGAAATGTACTTGGTCCAGGACTTCCACTCAGCTTTCCTCCTAGTCCATCGGGCCTTTGCTTTTAGTCTTTTAAATGCTATCCTATTTGAAGAAGTAGGGTACCCCCGAAAGGTATCCCATGCCCTGTGCTGCTTTTTCCTTGTGGTAGCACAGTCTTCATTCTACTAAGGCCTACACCTCTTGGGTAAATTTTCAGAGGTGCGAGGAATGGCGTCTTGGGCGGCACTTATGATTTGCTCCGTAACATACACTGTCGCTTCTTCAGGTGACAAATTTGCTAGAACTGACGGATCAAGCACTGCATCAAGTTTAAAGAGTGCCCAGTCGGCTTTGTCCAGTTTCCACCTAGGGGTTCGTTTTAAAATAGTCGGCAGAGGAACCAGGCTCTCGATTACAACTGGGAAATGATCACTCCCAAAAGGGTTGTCTAAAACCTTCCAAGAAAAACAGGGAAGTATTGATGGTGATGAAATGGAGAGGTCAATGGATGTGAAGCAATTATGAGTGGAACTATAAAATGTTGGTTCTTTCTTATTTAAAAGACATATGTCTGACGAGAGTGAAAATCTTTCTACAATAGCGCCACGAGAGTCAAGGCGCTTACTGCCCCACATGGGACTGTGAGCATTAAAATCAGCACAAATTAAAAAAGGCGTTAGGAGTTGCTGAACCAATCCTTGAAGTTCATGAAGATGCAGTTGACGATGAGGTGGTAAATACAAGGACACAACCGTAATGAGACGATCGGCAAGAACACGTACCGCAACTGCTTCTAGTGATGTACGCAGAGGAACTTCCACACATGCTATGCCACTCCGTACAACAATGGCAACACCACCAGAAGAGTGGTCTGAATCCCGATCCTTTCTAAAAACGCGGTGATGATTAAAAACATTTGTATGGGTGTTGTTAAGATACGTCTCCTGCAAGCACACAGCAATGGGCTGTAGCTCATCTAGAAAGAAATGAATGTCATCAATATTTTGCAGGAGACTTCTACAGTTCCACTGTATAAAAATATATGTGTTCATGTTAAAAACGATTTAAAGTAAAACAAAACAAAAAAGGAAACCTGCTCTAGGTGCCCTGAGGCGGTTGGGGGCAGTTACTCGCGGATTGAGCTTTTTCTGGGAAGACTTTTTAAGCCTGGTGTCATCAGGTGGGACTGAACGAGGGGGAGGAGGTTCACCGAGTTCCATCCGCTCCTCCTCTGGCTGAACGGCTGACGGAGCAGCTGGTACGGGCACCTCCTTAGATGTCGAGGCCTCTCCTAGTGCCTTAAAACAAAACACACCCTCCTTCTTCCTGGGATGATGATGATGATGATGATTGGGGTTTTTTGGCACAAGAGCAACTCAGGCCATATTGCGCCAAACAAAGGTTTTTCCAAGAGGCTTAAAAGTATAATCTATACAAACTGGAAGCTACAGCTGGTGTAAAAAGCCAGTTTTATGAAGGAAATTTAAAACTCGATTGAATGGTACCAATGGTTGATCGCCAAGCAGAAAATATGGGTGAAAGGGAAGGTGACCTCGAAAAAGTTCTGGAAAACATGATCGCCGCTCTTGGTTTAAAGATTTGCAATGCCACAGGATGTGCAAAACAGTCATAGCTTTCCCACAGTTGTCGCAAAGTTTAACGTCCTCACCACAGAGCAGGTGCAAATGAGTCAAACGGGTATGACCGATTCGTAAGCGGCAAAGGAGAACTTCAACCCGACGGTCTTTATGGGAGGAACTCTCCCACACCCCCAGTTGGGGCTTGATAACATGAAGCTTGTTCTCTTTTTCCAAATCCCAATCCAACTGCCATGACTTCATAATTGATTTCTGGATGATTGGTATCAGGTCTTGGTGTGGCAAGCCAAGAGGCAGTTTTGGGGACTCTTTTGCAGAGCCAGCAAGCAAGTCTGCTTTCTCATTGCCGGAAATACCTACGTGGCTAGGAACCCAAAAGAATTTAATCAAGTGTCCTAGCTGAAGTGCTCGGTTTAACCGTACCCGAAGATATTGCACGAGAAGGTTCTTACTGTCTGCTAAGGACGAAATGGCTAGAAGAACGCTCTGGGAGTCGACAAACAGAATTGCTTTCATGATATTGTTCTCCAGTAAGTGCTCAACAGCCATTGCAATGGCATACAATTCAGCAGTAAAAATATTTGCAAGAGTATGGAGTTGTCTAACTTTTTCGAAGGCAATGGAGTAAACCGCACACCCCACGAAAGTTGGTGTTTTTG